TGAGCCCCGCATCAGGCTCCCTGCTCAGCGGGAGGCCTGCCTCTCCCTCTCCCACTCCCCCTGCTTATGTTCCCTCTCTCGCTGTCTCTCTCTCTATCAAATAAATAAATAAAATCTTAAAAAAAAAAAAAAAAAGAAATGCAACAGATTTTTGGGACGCCTGAGTGGCTCAGTCGGTTAAGCGTCTGCCTTCAGCTCAGGTCGTGATCCCAGGGTGCTGGGATCGAGTCCTGCATCGGGCTGTCTGCTCCATGGGGAGCCTGCTTCTCCCTCTGCCTCTGTCTCTCATGAATAAATAAATAAATAAATAAATAAATAAAAAGAAAGAAACGCAACAGATTTTTTAGTGTTGATTTTGTATCCTGCAACATCACTGAATGCATTTATTAGTTCTAACAGTTTTTGGTGGATTCTTTAGGGGATAATTTTACTGCTTCCTTTATGATTTGGATGCCTTTTATTTCTTTTTCTTGCCTAATTGCTCTGGACTTTCAGTAATATGTTGAATAGAAATGGTAAGACTGTGAGGGGGTGCCTGGGTGGCTCAGTCAGTTAAGCGTCTGACTTCAGCTCAGGGTCCTGGGATTGAGCCCCACATTGGGCTTCACACTCAGCAGGGAGTCAGCTTTTTCTCCCTGTGCCCCGCTCCCACTCATGCGTGCTGCACGCTCTCTCTCAAATAAATAAATAAAATCTTAAAAAAAAGAAATGGTAAAAGTGGGCATCTTTGTCTTTTTGTTTCATTTTGGTTTTTTTGTTTCTGATCTTAGAGGAAAAGCTTTCAACCTTTCACCATTGAGCATGATACTAGCTGTGGGCTTGTTATAGATCACCTTTATTATGTTGAGGTACATTCCTATAACATAATTTGTTGAGATTTTTTTTTATCATGAAAGGATGTTGAATTTTGTCAAATGTTTTATGCATCTATTGAGATTATCATATAATTTTAATCCTTCATTCTGTGGGTGTGGTGTATCACATTGATTGATTTGCAGATGTTGGACTATCCTTGCATCTCAGGGATAAATCCCACTTGTTCATGGTGTATGATCCTTTTAATGTGCTGTTGAATTCAGTTTGCTAGTATTTTGTTGAGGATTTTTGCATCTATTAGAGATATTGGCCTGTAATTTTCTTTCTTTCTTTTTTTTTTTGGTAGTATTCTTACCTGGCTTTGGTATCAGGAGAATGCTTACTTCCTAAAACAGTTTGAGATCATTCTTTCCTATTCAATTTTTGAAAGCGTTTAAGTAGGATTGACATTAATTCTTCAAATATTTGGTAAAATTCACCAGTGAAACTATCTGGTTCAGGGCTTTTCTGTGTTAGGAGGCTTTTGATTACAGATTCAATCTCCTTACTCATTATTGATCTGTTCAGACTTGCTTTTTCTTTCTGATTCAGTCTTGTTAGGTTGTGTGTTTCTAGGAACTGATCCCTTTCTTCTAGGTTATCCAATTTGTTGACACAGAATTGTTCATAGTAGTCTCTTAATTATCCTTTTGTATTTCTGTGATATCAGTTGTAATGCCTCCTCTTTCATTTCTGATTTTATTTTTTTGAGACTTCTCTCTTTTTTTCTGAGTCTTAGCTAAATATTTGTCATTTTTGTTTATCTTTTTTAAAAAAAACAGCTTAGTTTCATTGATCTTTTCTGTTTTTTTTCTTAGTCTTGGTTTCTTTTTTTAAGATTTTATTTATTTATCTGAGAGAGAGAGAGAGTGAGAGAGAGTGCACAAGCAGGGGAAGTGGCAGAGGGAGAAGGAGAAGCAGGCTCCCCATGGAGCAGGACCCTGGGATCATGACCTGAGTCGAAGGCAGAGGCTTAACTGACTGAGCCACCCAGGCGCCCCTAGTCTTGCTTTCATTTATTTCTGTTCTAATCTTTTTTAAAAAAAATGTTTATTTATTTATTTATTTATTTGACAGCGAGAGAGAGAGAGACAGCGAGAGAGGGAACACAAGCAGGGGGAGTGGGAGAGGGAGAAGCGGGCTTCCCGCTGAGCAGGGACCCCGATGTGGGGCTCGATCCCAGGACCCTGGGACCATGACCCGAGCCCAAGGCAGATGCTTAACTGACTGAGCCACCCAGGCGCCCCAAAACAGATTTTTTTGATTTCTTCTTTGACCCATTGGTTGTTCAGGAGTGTGTTGCTTAATTTTCAGTATGAATATATAAAGTTTCCAATTTTCTTCCTGTTATTGGTTTCTAGTTTCATACCATTGTGGTTGGAAAAGAGATTGACATAATTTCAATCTTTTTAAATTTGCTAAGACTTGTTTTGTATCTAACATGATCTATCCTAGAGATTGTTCCATGTGTGCTTGAGAGGAATGTGTATTTTTTGCTGCTGTTGGATAGAATGTTCTGTATATGTCTGTTAGGTCCATTTGGTCTAAAGGATAGTTCAAATCCAAGGTTTTCTTTCTTTTTTTTTTTTAGATTTTATTTATTTATTTGAGAGAGAGAATGAGAGAGAGAGAGCATGAGAAGGGGGAGGGTCAGAGAGAGAAGGAGACTCCCTGCTGAGCAGGCAGTCCGATGCGGGACTTGATCCCGGGACTCCAGGATCATGACCTGAGCCGAAGGCAGTGGCTTAACCAACTGAGCCACCCAGGCGCCCCAAATCCAATGTTTTCTTACTGATTTTATATCTAGATGATTATCCATTGTTTAAAGTGGAGTATTGAGGAGTGCTGGGTGGTTCGGTTGGTCAAGCATCCAACTCCTGATTTCCACTCCGGTCATGGTCTTAGGGTTGTAAGATTGGACCCACATTGGACTCCGTGCTGGGCATGGAGCCTGCTTACAATTCTCTCTCTCTCCCTCTCCCTCTGCCCCTCCCTGCCCCCGTGCATGCTCTCTCTCTCTCTCTCTCAAAAAAAAAATTAAAGTGGAGTATTGAAGTCTATTTCTGTATTTTGATTTCTTTCATTCTTCATTTCTTCTTGTGGATTTGACTTATTTTGTTTTAGCCTGAATGTTTTCTATTAGTATTTCTTGTTAAGTTGGGTCCACTAGGAACAAATTCTCTCACTCTTTATCTGAGAATACCTTTATTTTTTTTTCATCTTAAAAATAAATATATTCGCAATTCATAGAGTTACATTCCCTTTGCCACGCCCCCCCCCCACACACTTGGGAGTGCCCCAGAAACTCAATGAGTCTTTAAAATGTCACAGCGTGGAAGTTGCAATGCAAACACAGTATACTCTAAAAAGAAAGAAATTCTTTGATAAAGGTGTCCTCCAGATCTCCATGTGGATGTGCTTATTTTCCTGGAACATCCTTTTTCATTCTTCTTACTCTAGCCTCAAACTTCTTTAAAATACACCAATGTTTGAGGAAACTAAGAAGTAAGTACATGTGAGAATGTCTTTATTTTAACTTTATTTTCAAGTCTAGTTTTTCTGGAAAAAGAATTACTGGTTGACAGTTTTTTTCTTTCAACACTTCTGGCTTCCCATTAAGTCTGATGAGGTGTCAGCCATTAAGTGAATTGTTGTTGCCTTGTACATGATGAATTGCTTTTCTCTTGCTGCTTTCAAGATTTTTTTTTGTCTGTGGATTTCAACAGTTTGACTATGGTGTGTCTAGGTATGGAACCCTTTCTGTTTGTCCTGTTTAGAGTTTGTTGAACTTCCTGGTTCTGTAGATTAATATTTTTCATTAAATATGGGAATATTTCAGCCATTTTTTTTTTTTTTGGTTATTTTCTTTCTTCCTCTTCCTTTAACTCTTTTCTTTCTGGGAGTCTTATTACACTTAAGTTATTACACTTGATGGTATCCACCGGTATATGCAGCTATGTTAATTTTTCTTCAATTTGTTTTTCTTTCTATTATTTGGATTTGGTACTTTCTTTTGCTTTATCTTTGAGTTTTCTGATTCTTTCCTCTTTCATCTCATATCTGCTGTTGAACTCATCTGGTGAAGTTTTCATGTCAGTTCTTTTATTTTTAAACTCTAGAATTCCCTTTTGGTTATTTTATGTAGTTTCTGCTTCTCCACTGAAACTCTGTATTTGATGAATTGTCATATTTTCCTTTAATAATTTGAACATAGTTTCCTATAATTCTTTGAACGTATTCATAATAGGTGCTTGGAAGCTTTTGACTACTAAATTGAATATTTAGGCCCTCTCAAAGTCAGATTCTCTTGACTGCTTTTTTTTTTTTTTTTAAAGATTTTATTTATTCATTTGAGACAGAATGAGAGAGACAGAGCACATGAGAGGGGGGAGGGTCAGAGGGAGAAGCAGGCTCCCCGCCGAGCAGGGAGCCCGACGCGGGACTCGATCCAGGGACTCCAGGATCACGACCTGAGCCGAAGGCAGTCGCTTAACCAACTGAGCCACCCAGGCGCCCTCTCTTGAGTGCTTTTACTCATGGGTCAAACTTTCCATTTTCTTTGTGTCAAGTTGTCAAGTGGTTCCTAAACAGCAGCATTGTGGCTGAATCTATGGAAATGTGGGTGGTAAGGAAACAATGAGCCCAAATGGATTCATAGTTTGTTACTTACCAGTCAACAAAAGCAAGATCAGTGTAGTGTCAGATCATGTCTCTGGTCTCACAAGATGACACCAAACCAGAGGGACCAGATGACAGGTGACACAGGCAGTGGAACACTCTGCCACTGAGGAGTCATCTCTAAAATTACAGCCAAGCAGGTTTATAGACGTGTATAGAATTCTGAAGCTGTAAGCTGAGTGGAGACAAGGTGGAAAGTTCTGTGCTCCACTGCAACTGGGGAGATAGATGAAAAATGGCCTTGTTGAAGTCTCCCTTAAGATACGGATGAGATGGAGCGCCTGGGTGGCTCAGTCGTTAAGCGTCTGCCTTCGGCTCAGGTCATGATCCCAGGGTCCTGGGATCGAGCCCCGCGTCGGGCTCTCTGCTCGGCCGGGAGCCTGCTTCTCCCTCTCCCACTCCCCCTGCTTGTGTTCCCTCTCTAGCTGTCTCTCTCTCTCTCTCTGTCAAATAAATAAAGTAAAATCTTAAAAAAAAAAAAAAGATACAGATGAGAAAATGCCTCACAGAAGCTCCATACCAGCCTTCTTCTGTGTTTATTGAGATCATCATGTGATTTCTGTCCTCCATTCTATTGATATGTAGTAAATGTCTTGAGGTGAGGACCAACTATTTGAGGTCCCCTGTTGTGAACTGAATTGTGACCCCAAAAAGATATGTTCAAGTTCTAACCCCTGGTACCTGTGAATATGACCTTATTTGGAAATAGGTTCTTTGCAGATGTAATCAAGTAAAGATGAGCTCATACTGGAGTAGGGTGGGCCCTAAATCCAATATGACTGATATCCTTAGAAGAGAAGAAGAGGAGCACCTGGGTGGCACAGTTGGTTGAGCGTGCAACTCTTGATTTTGGCTCAGGTCGTGATCTTGGGGTCATGAGATTGAGCCCCACATCAGGCTCTGCACACAGCAGGGAGTCTGCTTGGGATTCTCTCTCTCCCTCTCCCTCTACCCCTCCCCCTGTATGTGCTCTCTCTCAAATATATAAATACATCTTTAAAAAAGAGGACAAGAAGAGACATAGACACTGACACAGAAAGAAGAATGCCACGTGAAGATGGAGGAAAAGATTGAAGTGATGCACCTATAAGCCAAGGAATGTCAAGGATTGCTGGCAACCAACTGAAACTAGGTGAGAGGCATGAAACAGATTGTTTCTTCTTTTTTTTTTTTTTTAAAGGTTTTATTTATTTATTTGACAGAGAGAGAGAGACAGTGAGAGAGGGAACACAAGCAGGGGGAGTGGGAGAGGGAACACAAGGAGGGGGGAGTGGCAGAGGGAGAAGCAGGCTCTCCACCGAGCAGGGAGCCCGATGTGGGGCTCGATCCCAGGACCCCGGGATCATGACCTGAGCGGAAGGCAGATGCTTAACGACTGAGCCACCCAGGTGCCCCTGAAACAGATTGTTTCCTAGAGCTTTCACAGAGAGTATGGCTTGCCAACATCTTGATTTTAGACTTCTGGTCTTGTGAAATGTGAGAGAATCACTTTTTATTGTCTTAAGACAGTAAGTTTGTTGTACTTTGTAATGGCAGCCTTAGCAAACTAGTATATCCCCCAAATCTCCAATTTTGTCACTTCAGTTCCACTTGACCACTTAAAGTTCTGCTGATTTCTCTACCCCCTAAGAGCAACCCTCAGCCTCTCTCTGCATTGAGAGCTGAAATTATTCCCAGGGGAAAAGCGGTTGCAGATGATCAGTGTAAATTCATCACTGTTTTCAGGGCCTCTCTCCTTTAGCAGGTCTCTGTTTCCCAAGCACAGTGAGACTACAGAAAATGCCGACCACTGCTCAGCTTAGGTCTATAGCCTCCGACCCTGTGCAGGTTCAGAACTATGCACATGTCTTGGGGGGAGAGCAGCTGTTCGTTTAAGGACCCTAAAGTCTTCAATTTTGTCACTACAGCCCCACATAACTGTTAAAAGGTCTCGTGTTTTTTCTGAACTTTAGCAGTAGCTTTCTGTATGGGTTAAGTACAGATTCTCAGCATCTATCCTTCAACTAGAGCCAGCATATTCCTTTAAACAAAAAGCAGCTGCAGTTCCTCAGCTTATGTCTAAAAGTTTCTCCCTGTCTTAGTCTGTTCAGGAAGCTATAAGAAAATAGCACAGACTGGGTGGCTTGTACACAGCAGACACAGATTTCTGACAGTTGTGGAGCCTGGAAGTCCAAGGTCAAGTGCTGGCAGATTCCGTGTCTGGTTCACAGACGGCCATCTTCTCATTGTGTCCTCACAGGGCAGCAGGGACAAGGGTGCTCTCTGCGGTCCCTTTCATAAGGGCACTAATCCCATTCAGGAGGGCTCCACCCCCATGACCTAATCACCTCTTTAGGCCTCACCTCCTAATACTATCACATTGGGAGTTAGGGTTCAGTATATGGATTCTGGGGGGACACAAACATTCAGACCATAATATTCGACCCTGGCTCCTCAAAATTCATGTCCTTCTTGCACACAAAATGCAGTAGCCCCCAAAGCCTTAACCCGTTACAGCATGAACTCTAAAGTCTAAGGCCAAGTCTCATGTAGATATCACCTAAATCAGATGTGGATAAGACTCAAAGCCCAGGTGGCTCAGTCGGTTAAGCATCTGCCTTTGCCTCAGGTCATGGTCCCGGGATCCTGGGATTGAGCCCCGCATCGGGCTCCCTGCTCTGCGGGGAGCCTGCTCCTCCCTCTGCCTCTGCCCCTCACCCCTGCTCGTGCTCTCTCTCTCTCTCTCAAATAAATAAAATCTTTTATTTATTTATTTATTTATTTATTTATTTATTTATTTATTTATTTATTTAAGAGAGAGAATGAGATAGAGAGAGCATGGGGGGGGAGGGTCAGAGGGAGAAGCAGACTCCCCGCTGAGCAGGGAGCCCGACGCGGGACTCGATCCCGGGACTCCAGGATCATGACCTGAGCCGAAGGCAGTCGCTTAACCAACTGAGCCACCCAGGCGCCCCTCAAATACATAAAATCTTAAAAAAAAAAAAAAGACTCAAAGTATGAGCTGAGGCAAATTCCTCTCCATCTGTGAACCTGTGAAACCATACAAGTGTGTGCTTCCAAAATACAATGGTGGGATAAGCATAGGATAGACATTCTCATTCCAAATGGGATAAATAGGAAAGAAGAAAAGAGTGACAAGTCCTAAGTAAGTTTATTTCAGGCAGAGAGAGAGCAAGTGAGAGAGCATGAGCAGGGGAGAGGAGGGGCAGAGGGAGAAGCAGACACTCTGCTGAGCAGGGAGCCCGACGATGTGGGGCCCAATCCCAGGGCCCTGGGATCAGGACCTGAGCTGAAGGCAGACACTTAACCGACTGAGCTACTCAGGCACCCCAATTTATCAGATTTTCTAATTGTTCTTAGTGAGAGTGTTGTTTTAATGATCTGATCTGTGTAATAAACTACCTGAAATTATTCTGGCTTAAAACAGTAATCATTGAGGGACGCCTGGGTGGCTCAGTTGGTTAAGTGTCTGCCTTCGGCTCAGGTCATGATCCCAGGACCCTGGGATCCAGTCCTGCATCAGGCTCCTTGCTCAGCGGGGAGCCTGCTTCTCCCTCTGCCCCTCTCCCTGCTTATGCGTTCATTCGCGCACGCGATCTCTCTCTCTCTCTCTGACAAATAAATAAATAAATCTTAAAAAAAAACCCCAATAATCATTGTATTATATTTTACAATATTTTGGGTCAGAAATCTGGGTATTATCGGCTATGTGGCTAACAGAGACCTGAGGTAATGACAGAAAGTGGAGCTGTAAAGGCTGAAAAAGCAAGAAAAAGTGGAACAGAAAGAAGAAGAAGATGATAAGAAAATGACAAGGAGTGTGAAGGTAAGGATGGCAATGATGATTATTTTGCTGAAAAAGGTGGTTTTAATAGAGATTTTTTTGTCTCTAAAGAAGTTAACTCCTCCATTACCAATCTCATAACTTTTAAAGTTAAAAAAGGAAATTCAATGGAATAAACCTAACCTAAGAGGAAAGGACCTGTACTCAGAAAACTATAGAATACTCATGAAAGAAACTGAGGAAGACACAAAGAAATGGAAAAACATTCCATGCTCATGGATTGGAAGAACAAATATTGTTAAAATGTCTGTGCTACCTAGAGCAACCTACACATTCAATGCAATCCCTATCAAAATACCATCAACTTTTTTCATAGAACTGCAACAAATAATCCTAAAATTTGTATGGAACCGGAAAGGACCCTGAATAGCCAGAGGAATGTTGAAAAACAAAAGCAAAGCTGGCGCCATCACAATGCCAGACTTCCAGCTCTATTACAAAGCTGTCATCATCAAGACAGTATGGTACTGGCACAAAAACAGACACATAGATCAATGGAACAGAATAGAGAGCCCAGAAATGGACCCTCAACTCTATGGTCAACCAATCTTCGACAAAATAAGAAATATGGAATGGAAAAAAGACAGTCTCCTCAACAAATAGTTTTGGGAAAATTGGACAGCCACATGCAGAAGAATGAAACTTACACCATACACAAAAATAGACTCAAAATGGAGGAAAGACCTAAATGTGAGACAAGTATCCATCGAAATCCTAGAGGAGAACACAGGCAACCACCTTCTCGACCTCAGCCACAGCAACTTCTTGCTAGACACGTCTCCAAAGGCAAGGGAAACAAAGGCAAAAATGAACTACTGGGACGTCATCAGGATAAAAAGCTTTTTGCACAGCAAAGGAAATTGTCGGCAAAACCAAAAGACAACCGGCAGAATGGGAGAAGATATTTGCAAATGTCTTATCAGATAAAGGGTAGTCTCCAAAATCTATAGAGAACTTACCAAACTCAACACCCAAAGAGCAGATAATCCAGTCAAAAAATGGGCAGAAGGGCGCGTGGGTAGCTCAGTCATTAAGCGTCTGCCTTCGGCTCAGGTCATGGTCCCAGTGTCCTGGGATCAAGTCCCACATCAGGCTCCCTCCTCAGCAGGAAGCCTGTTTCTCCCTCTCCCACTCCCCCTGCTTGTGTTCTCTCTCTCGCTGTGTGTCTCTCTGTCAAATAAATTAAAAAAAAATTTTTTTAAAAATGGGCAGAAGACATGGACAGACATTTCTCCAAGGAATACCTACAAATGGCCAACAGACACATGAAAAAATGCTCAACATCACTCAGCATCAGGGAAATCCAAATCAAAACCTCCATGAGATACCACCTCACACCAGTCAGAATGGCTAAAATTAACAAGTCAGGAAACGACAGATGTTGGTGGGGATGCAGAGAAAAGGGAACCCTCCTACACTGCTGGTGGGAATGCAAGCTGGTGCAGCCACTCTGGAAAACAGTATGGAGGTGCCTCAGAAAGTTGAAAATAGAGCTACCCTTGGACTCAGCAATTGCACTACTGGGTATTTACCCCAAAGATACAAATGTAGGGATCCGAAGGGGTACGTGCACCCCAATGTTTTAGCAGCAATGTCTACAATAGCCAAACTATGGAAGGCGCCCAGCTGTCCATCGACAGATGAATGGATAAAGAAGATATGGTATATATATACACAATGGAATATTATGCAGCCATCAAAAAGAATGAAGTCTTGCCATTTGCAACCATGTGGATGGACCTAGAGGGCATTACACTAAGTGAAATAAGTCAATCAGAGAAAGACAAGTATCATATGATCTCACTGATATGTGGAATTTAAGAAACAAGGCAGAGGATCATAGGGGAAGAGAAGGGAAAATGGAACAAGATGAAATCAGGGAGGGAGACAAACCATAAGAGAGTCTTAATCTTAGGAAGTGAGAGAATGAGACAACACAGTCTGTTAAGACATAGAACAGGGATTGGCAAACTACAGCCTCCTGGCCAAATCCAGCTCAGGGCCTCTTTTTTAATAACCCATGAGCTAAGGACTTGACTTGGGGACATGGAGAAAGCCAGCTGGTCATGTGTGGTTAGGTACGCCGACGGAAGCACCGGTTCTGAGGCGAAGTGGGCATTACGGGGCGGGGGAGGGGCCAGGCTTAGCAGGAACAGTCACGTGCTCAGAGGCTTTAGGGGTTGCGCCGTGGCAGTCTGAGCATGCCGGGGCAGGGCCGGCTCGGAGGATTCCTGTTCGCGGAGCGGCACTAAGGGGGCGGAACTTCACAGGCGAGCAGAGCACGGATTGGGTACAGAAAAAACGTACGGGGTCTCTAGGGCTGTTTGGTGGGAACCAATCACGAGTCAAGAGGCACTACCAGGGGTGTGTTTGCGCAGGCGTTCTGGGGTGTCCCAAGTTGCAATGCGCGCGAAGGGGTGAAGTTTTGTCAGGAAGCGCTTTGTCCTTCGGGTGGCGGGTGAGCTGAGAGGGCTGTACGGGAAGGCGCAGGTGCTGTGGGCATTATGATGAGTGCGCCAGGTGGTCCTGGTGAACCCCGTGACCCTGGTGACCCCAGCGAGCCCGAAGGCCTGGGCAGTCCCGGAGGTCGCGGCGCTGAGGGAGAGGCGGGCGCCGCTTCTGGTGGCGTGTCCCAGATGGAGCAGGCCCCCCACGCCCCAGGGCCTGACGGAGATGCGGCACCCGCGGCTGGAGGTCCTGGGCACCGACTGCTCCAGTTGTATCCTATTCACGGAGCCCCTGCGGGCTGGGCGGCTCGGGGAGGGGCTGGAGGTGGTTTGATGGGGCACACAGGCAAGCGGGCTTGCAAGGGGAGCAGGAGGGCGCTCTGGACATCTGGAGGGTGTCGGCTAGGGGTTGGCCTGTGCTGACAGGGTGGTGGCGGCGGGGGGACAACCAGCCTGAGGGGGAAGAGGCGGTGGCGGCCGTGCCGTCCAGGGTGGCCGATGTGTGTAGGGTCAGCCTGGCGGGGGGAGACGGGCCTTATGGGGGAGGAGGCCTGTGGCAGAGGCAACACTGATACCGTGGATGGTTCCTTAACCATACCCCCCCAGCATCCTCACTATACCTTTCCCGTCGCCCGTGGAGGCGGAGATTGCCGAGCGGTTCATGACTCCAAATGCTGAACTCCGAGGGCCAGCTCGGAAGGAGCTCAGTGTGAACGGCAGCGTCCTGACTGTGTTAGTTCTAGAATGGTCGCGGGGGAGGGTGGTGGCAAGTGGCCAGGGACAATGTGAGTTCAGGAGGAGCTGTAATGGAAACCGGGAGGGAATAAGTGTAAGGAAGGAGTGTTGCTGTGTGAAGGGGCAGATGGGGGAATGTACCCCTCCGCCCCTCTAACTTGAATTTTACTTTTTCTTCCCTGTTAGCCGATTGACTGCTGAGGACCCTGGCCAACTCCAAATGTCCGTCACCTCCTGTCTTGACCAGGTTTCCCTGGTGATGCGGATCATACAGCGCGTTGTGCCTCCCTTTTTTGCTAAGCCGCAGCAGGAAAAAGGGGGCTAGACCCAACCGCATGTCCCGGCCTAGGCATCCCGCTGGCGCACTGATGCATTGGTTGCCTAATCTTTTGCCTGTACTGGCCCTTGGCTGCTTGGGATCCATGTGTTTTGTTTGGTAGTTAAATGTTTAATAAATACAGAAAATAGAACAGCTACTATTCTGTGTCTGAGTTTAATTTTAGCTTCTCCACCTCCTAATATTCTTGCCTTTGTTCTCACGTTGGAGGGGAGGTTCTGGGATTCAGATATTCAAGTAGGATAAGGCAACTGAAGACAATTTAGGAAATGGGAGAAATAATTGTGTCCTGTCACTCAGCATGAACTACCGCCAGCTACTAAGGAATATTTCCTTGGTTTTATAGTTGTACTTACATATTAATGTAGAACATCAGCATACTAAGTAAGGTCTTGTGCCTTATTGGCCTTGGTTCAGACCTGTGAAGAAAAGTGCTGGGGCTATTGGTTAAGTGGGCCCCACTCCACCCTCTATACTCACCTATCATCTAAGACCTCATTCCCTGAGGCTCCCTGGGATTTCCAGAGCTCCTTCCTTCGTGTGGCTCTCTCTCGCAGCATCTCTCCCCAGTGTTTTTCCAGTTTATTACGCTGCTGCTTTCTTCCCTAAAGTCATGACAAGGGTCCTTGAGGAAAACAAAAAGGGCAAGTGGTCTTCCTCAGGTGGGGAGGAGAGATGAAGTAGATGATTATTCCCTGCCTTCCCCTGAAAGATGCCCTTATTTAACACCACTGGGGGGCTGCTTACGAGGCACCAGAGTGGCCGAGGACAGGAATGGGCGAGGCCCCAGGGCAAGAGGTGAGTCTCTGGGAGGAAGAGAGGAGGAACAAAGTGTTGTCTGAGGGAGAATCAATACTGTTTGCAGAGAGACACTGAGCTGTGTAGAACGCTGTGACTACATGTTTATGAATTTGTACCTGGGTGTCTGTAAATAGGTCTGCTGGAAGAAGTTGGGAAAATAAAGGCAAACCTGTCTTGTCTGTAAGGAAGATGTCAAAGCAAGACCGTGACCAGTGTCTAGAATGGCTTCTGGCTTGAGGAAGCATTTCATTGAGCAATGTTACCAAAGAGAGCCCCAGCCTGGGACTCAACTGTCTCTGTCAGTCCTGTTCTTTCTTACTTTCTACTGGGCAGGCAGCTTTTTAAAAAAAGATTTTATTTATTTATTTGACAGAGAGAGAGGGAGAGAGAGAGAGAGCACAAGTAGGCAGAGTGGCAGGCAGAAGCAGGCTCCCGGCTGAGCAGAGAGCCCGACATGGGGCTCGATCCCAGGGTCCTGGGATCATGACCTGAGCTGAAGGCAGATGCTGAACAGACTGAGCCACCCAGGTGCCCCTGGGCAGGCAGCTTTAATCTCTGAGGCATGTGCAGGGGGGACCTGAAGTCAGAGAACAAGGATGTTTCAACATATGCACATCTATAAATGTGAAACATCACATTGCTACAATGAAAGATAAAAATCATAGGATCATCTCCATAGATGCAGAAAAAGGATTTGACAAAATACAACATATTTTCATCATAAAAACCTTGAATAAATTGGGTATAGAATTAATATACCCCAATCTAACAAAGGCCGTATATGATAAACCCCGCAGCTAACATCATACTTAATGGCGACAAGTTGAAAGCTTTCCCTCTAAAATCAAGAACAAGGCATGGCTGGTCAGAGGCATACTCAGTTAAATTTCAATCCTTAAATTTTAAATTTATTGAGAATTGGTTTTTGGCCCAGCAAACACATACAAAACATATTTGTACTTGAAAAGAATGTGCAGTATACACACATCTTAAATTTAGATTTCGAATCTAGTGTCCTAAAAACATCAAGTTAGCTGATACTATTGATCAGATGTTCTATGTCAGGAGCCAATAAACTTTTAACATAAAAGAGATGCTGAGCTGGATTTGGCCAGGAGGCTGTAGTTTGCAATCCCTGTTCCATGTCTTAACAGATTGTGTTGTCTCGTTCTCTCATCCACTGAGAGCAGATGTTAACATCTCCAAGTGTGATTTTGGACTTGTCCCTTTCACCTATTAATCCTATCAATTCTTGCATCATGTATTTTGAAGGTATGTTATTGGCACAAACATATTTATGACCATTTTCTCTTCCATATGGATTATTTGCTACTTTTACTATTATGAAATGTACAGTTTTCCTTGAAGTCTGATTCATCTAATACTGATATAACCACATCAGCCTTCTTTGTACTATTTATTTGTAAGTCCTTTTCCATCCTCTTACTTCCAACCTACCAGTGTCTTTATATTTTAATTATGTGGCTCAAGTAGACAGCACGTAGTTTGGTCTTTAAAAAAAAATCTCTCTAACAATGTCTGCTTTTAAACGGGATTGTTTGTCAAATTCACATTTAATATAATTACTGATATTGTTGGATTTAAGTCTGCCATTTCGCTATTCATTTTTCTTTGTCCCTCCTCTTTTTTTGTTTTTGCTCAACTTATCTGAGGCAAAATGCACACACGGAAAATTACACACATTTTAAGTATACAGTTTTATGAGTTAGGACAAAGTTGTACATAGCAAAAGTCAAGATACATTCCCATCACTCTCACAATTCCCCCTGTGCCTCTGTATGGACACTCTCCTCCTCTACATTCTGCCCTCAGATAACAAATAGAGCTTAGATTTGCCTTTTCTAGAATTTCCAAGAATCATACAGTAGGGGGGGCGCCTGGGTGGCTCAGTCGTTAAGCGTCTGCCTTCGGCTCAGGTCGTGGTCCCAGGGTCCTGGCATCGAGCCCGGAGTCGGGCTCCCTGCTCGGCGGGAAGCCTGCTTCTCCCTCTCCCACTCCCCCTGCTTGTGTTCCCTCTCTCGCTATCTCTCTCTCTGTCAAATAAATAAATAAAATCTTTAAAAAAAATAAAAAGAATCATACAGTAGGTACTCTTTGGAGTCCACCTTTCTTTACTTAGCATAATGACTTGGGGATTCATCCAAGTTGTTGGGTGTATCAGTAATTCATCCCTCTTTGTTACCGGCTGGTATTCCGTTGCATGGAAGTACCGTAATTTGTTTAACCATTCACCTGCTGATGGACATTTGGCTTGTTTCCAAATTGGGGTTATTATTAATAAAGTTGATATGAAAATTCATGTACAAGTCTTTTCGTGGACATATATTTTTATTTCTCTTGTATAAATAGCAGAAGTGAGATTTCTGGGTCATATGGTAAGTATAAGTTTACTTTTTAAAATTTTAAATTCAATTAACTAACATATAGTGTATTATTAGTTTCAGAGGTAGAGTTCAGTGATTCATCAGTCTTATAGAATACCCAGTGCTCATTACATTACATGCCATCCTTAATGTCCATCACCATCCCCCCACCTCCTCCCCTCCAGCAACCCTCAATCTATTTCCTATGATTAAGAGTCTCTTATGGTTTGTCTCCCTCTCTGATTTTATCCTGTTTCATTTTTCCCTCTTTCCCTATGATCTTCTGGTTTGTTGCTTAAATGCCACATATGAGTGAGATCAAATGATAGTTGTCTCTCTCTGACTGACTTATTTATTTCACTTAGCATAATACCCTCTAGTTCCATTCATCTCATTGCAAATAGCATGATTTCATTTTTTTTGATGGCTGAGTAGTATTCCATTGTGTATATATATACCATATCTTCTTTATCCATTCATCTGTCGATGGACAGCTGGGCTCTTCCCATAGCTTGGCTATTGTGGACATTGCTGCTATAAACACTGGGGTGCAGGTGGCCCTTCGGATCACTCCATTTGTATCTTTGGGGTAAATACCCAGTGGTGCAATTGCTGGGTCCTAGGGTAGCTCTATTCCTCTGTTTTTGAGGAACCTCCATACTGTTTTCCACAGTGGCTGCACCAGCTTGCATTCCCACCAACAGTGAAGGAGGGTTCCCCTTTCTCCAAGTCCTCGCTGACATTTGTCATTTCCTGACTTGTTAATTTTAGCCATTCTGCCCGGTGTGAGGTGGTATCTCACTGTGGTTTTGATTTGTACTTCCCTGATGCTGAGTGATGTTGAGCATTTTTTCATGTGTCTGTTGGCCATTTGTAGGTCTTCTTTGGAGAAATGTCTGTCCATGTTTTCTGCCCATTTTTTGACTGGATTATTTGCTCTTTGGGTGTTGAGTTTGGTAAGTTCTTTATAGATGCTGGAGACTACCCTTTATCTGATAAGACATTTGCAAATTTCTTCTCCCATTCTGCAGGTTGTCTTTTGGTTTTGTCGACTATTTCCTTTGCTGTGCAAAAGCTTTTTATCTTGATGAGGTCACAATAGCTCATTTTTGCCTTTGTTTCCCTTGCCTTTGGAGATGTGTCTAGCAAGAAGTAGCTGCGACTGAGGTCGAAGAGGTTGCTGCCTGTGTTCTCCTCAAGGATTTTGATGAATTCCTGTCTCACATTTAGGTCTTTCATCCATTATGAGTCTATTTTTGTGTATGGTGTAAGAAAATGGTCCAGTTTCATTCTTCTGCATGTGTAGTTTTCCCAACACCATTTGTTGAAGAGACTGTCTTTTTTTTCCCATTGGATATCCTTTCCCGTGGCAAGTGTAAGTTTACCTTTAAAAGAAACAGAAGAACTGTTTTCTTTTCTTTTTTAAAAAAGATTTTATTTATTTATTTATTTATTTATTTATTTATTTGACAGAGAGAGAGAGAGATAGCGAGAGAGGGAACACAAGCAAGGGGAGTGGGAGAGGGGGAGAAGCAGGCTTCCCGCTGAGCAGGGAGCCCGATGCGGGGCTCAATCTCAGGACCCTGGGATCATGATCTGAGCCGAAGGCAGACACTTAACCGACTGAGCCACCCAGGTGCCCCGAAGAACTGTTTTCCAGTATGATTGACTGTGACATATGAGCTTTCCATTCCATCTATATCCTCTTTCAGTCATCCTTATGTCTTTCAACTTTATTCCTCTTTTTCAAGTTTGATTTGCCTATTCTAGGTTCTTTGCACTTTCATATACACTTTGAAATCAACTTTCAATTTCTGAGAAGTCAGGATTTTTATTGGGTTTGCATTGAATTTATAGAATGGTGTGGTAGGAATGTAGATCTTAAGAATGCTAGGTCTTGGGGCGCCTGGGTGGCTCAGTTGGTTAAGCGTCTGCCCTTGGCTCAGGTCATGATCCCAGGGTCCTGGGATCAAGCCCCACATGGGGCTCTCTGCTCAGCAGGGAGCCTGCTTCTCCTCTCCCTGCCGCTCTGCCTACTTGTGCACGCGCACTCTCTCTCTCTATCAACTAAATAAATAAAATCTTTAAGAAAAAAAAAAAGAATAGTGGGTCTTCCGATCCATGCACATGATTTATTTCTCCATTTATGTAGCTTTTCTTTAATTTCTCTTACCAATAGCTTTTAGTTTTCAATGAAAAGTTTTGCACATATGTTATTAAATGCGTCACTAAGTATTTCACATTTTGGAATACTATTATAAATGATAGTGATTTTTTTTTATTTCATGCCTCTTTTTTTGTAGATTACTTAGGATTTTCTACGTACACAAATGTGTCATCTCTGAATAAAAATAATTCTATTTATTTTTTTTCCAATCTGTATCACTTTTATTTCTCTTTCTTGCCTAGTGCACTGCCTAGGATTTCCAGGACAATGTTGAATAGAAGTGGTGAACATCCATACCTTGTTTCTCAAACTTTGGGGGTGGGGGTGGTGGTGAGTGATGAATGACACTGATTGATATTTTTTTTAGTGAAAACCAATCTTTCATTCTTGGGATAAACCCCACTTGGTCACGACTGTATCATCCTCTTTATATGTTGCTGGACTGAATTTGCTAATATTTAATCAAGTTGTTTGTTTGTAACTTCATGAAGGATATTGGTCTATGGTTTTCTTTTCTTGCAATGTCTTCATCTGGTTTTGGTATTGTGTAATGCTAGCCTCATAAAATGATTTGGGAAGTGTTTCGCCTCTGGTTTTCTGAAAGAATTTGTATAGGATTGGTAATATTTCTCCTTTAAGTATTTGGTAGTATTCACTAGTAAAGCCATGTGGGCCTGGAGTTTTCTGTTCCATTTCTTTCAGAGATTTGGGGATATTCAGGTTTTCTATTTCTTCTTGAGTCAGTTTTGGTAATTTGTGTTATTCAAGGAATCTGTCCATTTCATCTAAATTGGGAAACTTATCCACAAATAATGTTCCTAATATTCCCTGGTTACACTTAAAAAAAAAAAAAATCAGTTTTCTTGGTATTTTTTTTTAAAACTTTCATTTTCATGGATTTTTCTCTGTTGTTTGTCCACTTAACATGTTATTCATATCTGCTCTTATCTTCATTATTTCTTTCCCACCATGTATTTAGATTTCAATTTTCTCTTCTATGTCTGATTTTCTGCAATATTGTTCTATCAATTACTAAAAGAGGAGTGTTAAAATGTTTACCTCCGATTGCGGATTTATCTATTTCTCCTTTCTTTTCTGTGAGTTTTTTTTTTTTAATTTAAATTCAGTTAGCCAACTTATAGTACATCATTAGTTTCTGATGTAGTGTTCAGTAATTTATCAGTTGCGTATAACACCCAGTGCTCATCTCATCACGTGCCCTCCTTAATGCCCATCACCCAATTACCCCATCCCCCCCATCCACCTCCCCTCTAGCAACCCTCCCCCCCCCGCCCCCCCCCAGCGGGGTCTCTAGCTCCAGCCCTCCTGCCCCACCCGCCCCAGGAGCCAACCGGTTCATGGACGACGTTGCCTGCATGATCGGGTACCGACCTTGCCCCTGGATGAAATGGTGCTGGTCCTTCTTCACCCCACTGGTCTGCATGGTAAGGGCCAGGGGAGGCTGAGCAGGGGGAGGGACGCCGAGGGCGCGCCACCGGCTGAGAGCAGGGCTTCTCACCCACAGGGCATCTTCATCTTCAACGTGGTGTATTACAAGCCGCTGGTCTACAACAACACCTACGTGTATCCATGGTGGGGCGAGGCCATGGGCTGGGGCTTCGCTCTCTCCTCCATGCTGTGCGTGCCCCTCCACCTCCTGGGCTGCCTCCTCAGGGCCAAGGGGACCATGGCTGAGGTCAGTCTGCCCTACCGCCTCTCCCCTGTTCGAGTCCCTCCCTTGCACCGGCTCAAGGCATTACCTCCAGAGTGCCCGTTCTCCCGCCCACTAGGACGTAACCACTGTGCTAGGACTCTCCGGGGCCTGCTCGGGGCGGGGGGGTGGGGGGGGTGGATGGAAGGAACGCTGGCCCCCCCAGGGACTGAGGTCCCTGGGAGGGGGGAGGAGAGGTCTGTCCCTAGCCTCTCACCCCTTTCCCTGGTACAGAGAGTGGGGTGTGGTCAGTACCCACGGGAGGAGGGGCCCTGGTCCCCAGCCAGTGGCAGGTGGTGGCAAGTGCAGAGAGGCCGAGGGCAAGCATGTGCACGCCCCCCACCCCCACCCCCGCCATGGCCCAGGGACTCAACGTGTCCCCCCTCTCTCCTGCAGCGCTGGCAGCACCTGACGCAGCCTGTGTGGGGCCTCCACCACTTGGAGTATAGAGCTCAGGACTCCGACGTCAGGGGCCTGACCACCCTGACCCCAGTGTCCGAGAGCAGCAAGGTGGTGGTGGTAGAGAGCGTCATGTGACAGGCACCCTGGCTCCCATCACCAGCTCACCCTCTTGTAGCCATAGCAGCCCCTGCTTTAGCCCCCCCACCCCTCCGGGGGGCTTGCCTTTCCCTGACACTTGTGGGGTCTGCCTGGGGAGGGCGGGGACGAAGCACCACGAGTGCTAACTAAAATAACTTTTTTTTCCACTTTTAATAAAACACCAAAAATACCACAACCCACCAAAAATAGACGCCTCCCCACCCCGCCCCCCAACCAAGCTGGTACACACGCTGCTTCCCAGGCCCTGCCGACCGCCCTTCCCCTGGTGCCCGCCGCCGAAGCGTCTCCCCCAGCCCCGCCACGCCTGCCTCTCTGGGCTCTGCCCGCCGCAGCCTCGGGCGGCCCCTCCCCCCTGGAGGCAGCAGTGACAGCTGGGGGACCCGGGCAGCAGAGGAGAGCAGGAAGGCGAGGGAGGGGCAGCAGAACCAAGGCGGCTACTTCAGCGGGGCTAGACCCCTCTCCCCGTCCCTATTCTAGAAGCTTCGAGAGCCAGCCAGCAACGGGACCTCCTGGTTCCTGCGCCGATTGCCACCAATATCAATCGTGTGAGCTTGTGTACGAATGCGTGTGTGCGTGAGGATGTAGGGGAAGCCTAGACCTCTCTTAGCAAAGGTGAATACCGGGTGTAAACTGTGCCTGTGGGCACGTGAGGCTTGTATTTTGCACATTTTATAAAAACTTGAGGAAAGAGATTTCTGCTTGTATATTTCTAAAGAGGAAACAGCCCAACGTCCCTCTCCCTGCCACTCCCTGTCCCTTTCAGCACCCCTTAGTCCTCTGCCCCAGCCAAGGAGTGTGAACTTATAGATCTAATTTTCATAGGCAAAAGCTTCAAGCTGTGGAGTGTGCAAGTCTGTCGTGTGGGTGTGCATGTGTAGTCCCTGGCCCCAGACTGGGGTGGAAAGAGTGTACGGCTGGGGGAGGGGGGGGGCCTCCGGGAGCACCCCCCCCCGCCCCCTCTGCCCACAGGTCGGCGGGGTGAAGCAGATGCGGCGTTGTGACCCCGGCGATCGGGGGCCGCTCACCCGGCATGCTCAGGCTCGCCCGCACCCTGCCCTCCCCTCCCCACCCCCCCGGGCTGGGCACGACTGCAGGGATCCGAGGTGGGCACCAGCCAGGGGAGGGATCCCGGGCATGGCTCCCACCTGCGAGCTTAAAGCTGATGCACTTCCCACGTCTCAAGTCTTCCATGTAGCAGCTTTAATTAACCCACGTGTGTGTCACGTCCGATCCCGAGACAGCCGAGTGGGCCCTAGAGAGGCTTCCCCCACGCCACCCCGACATCGGTCGGAGAGGTGGGACTGGGTGAGGGCAGGGGTCCAGCGGGGACGTTCTTACTGTGCTAAAAAGCCACTGCAAACATAGCAATAAAAAACATGTCATTTTCCAAAGCTGGCTCCTGCTCTGCCTCTGCTTGTCACGAGGGAGGGGTGGCGGGGGAGGGAGGCTGTTGGGGCTGCAGGGGTGGTGGGGAGGCCTCCCCACCTCGAGCCGCTGCCTCGGGCAAGTATTGGTTCGGAGGGTCCCCGCACCCGCCGCTGTTCCAGGACCTGGGAATAGAGCAGGTACTGAAGGCGGCGGCAGGCCTCTTCCCCGCGGAGCTGACATACTTGGGGAGGGAGGCTGACGGTAGGGCGGAGACGGACACGAGAGCAGGGAAGGTGGATAAAGGGATTGATGAGAAACACAGGAAGAACTCTTAGCAGGTCAAAGTCATAGAATTCAGGCAGGATTGGATGTGAGGATGAAGAGTATTGTCCAAGTATTATGACTGGGTCACGCCGACATCTGTCCGTCCAGACAAATGGAAAGATCTGCTTTGACTTGCTAACGAGCTCTTTCCGGCGTTTCCCACGTGCCCGTGGAATCTCTTTCTGGTCACCATCACGTGCAGGCTGCTTATTCCTGTGCCTTTTATTTCCATAGACATTTTTTCACACCTTAGATTGTGCTGTGTCCTGGGGTCCTGTGCCCCCTCGTGCCCTCTGACTTTTTTCTCCGGCAGTTGGCACCTCTGGACCTGGCGCCAGAGCTCCCACCCAGCTCCTCAAACATCTTACTTTTTCTCCCTTTGTTCAGCCTGTGCACAAGGTGGGCTGGGAAGTGCAGGGCGTTTGCACTCCTGGACAGAGTTCTCTGCTGATGCGGCCAAGAGTCACTAAAGAAATGCAGTGAGTGACCTGTTAGACTGTTGTTACATATGTCAGGGGAGCATGGGAGGGAAGCGAGTGAAGGACTACATTCACATTTTTTGCCACAAGTTTCTGTATTATACAAATTGTTCATAATGACAAAGTATTTGTGTATTACATACACAGTAAAATCAATATGAAATACTAGAAGAACATGTAGATGAGCTTTATTTGAGTTTTGAACGGGGAAAGTCTTTTGCAAGCCTACCAACGATGGAATAATAATAACCAGTCACATTTATTGGGTGATTACCGTGTTGCAGTCAGTGTTCTAAGCGCTGAATATGAATGAGCTCATCTCATCCTGAGACACCAACATTTTCATTGTGGTTGTCTTAGTAAGTGAGATGACTGATCTTTGTTTTCTTTTCCAAACTTGCCCATATTTTCTTTATTTTTGACAGTGAGCATGAACTACCTTTGTAAGCAGAACACAAATTAAGGAAGTTATTCAGCAATCATTGTTCGGAAAAACTTCTAATTGGTTCCCAAATGAACGACACAATACTATTAAAACCTCAACAAAGCCATTCTGTCACCAAACCTCGGGGCCAGCGCGGCACAGCCTTGCCTGTCTTCCAGATTTTCAGCTGCTTCCAAAAAGCAAGCCTTTCTAAATTCCACGCATAATGCTCATCCTACCTGGAAAGTTATTCCTCCAGAGGGCAACTGATAGTTTGCTTCATCAGTATTTCATCAATATTACATGAAGAAATATTTTGCTTTTCTCCCCCTTCCAGGTACTTCTGCACACATGCACATATGTGTGTGAACACAGAAAACACAGGCAGCTAGATACTCAGGAGGGCCATAGTGCGCATGCCGGCCTGGGTAGCAGTCACGGCCTTCGAGTTTCTGAATCAGAGAAAATTTGCTCAGAATGTAGTAAATATATATATATATATATATATATATATATATATATATATATATATATTTATTTATTTATTTATTTTTAAAAGATTTTATTTATTTATTTGTCAGAGAGTGAGAGAGAGAGCACAAACAAGCATGGGAAGAGGCAGAGGGAGAGGGAGAAGCAGGCTTCCCGCAGAGCAGGGAGCCCGATGCAGGACTCGATCCCAAGACCCCGGGATCGTGACCTGAGCCGAAGGCAGATGCTTCACTGACTGAGCCACCCAGGCGCCCCCCCTTTTTTGTAGTAAATATATTTAAAAACACATTAGGCATCATCTGTAATGATTATGGTTAAGAGGTAACAGGGCCAGGGCGTATAAATTCAAGGAAGGTGATGGGTAAATCAATGTGGATCTCTTTGCCAGATACTCAACATTTTTCTTGACCTCGAGCTTCGAGTCAGTTATCAACCCAAACTAGGATGTCCTATAGGCGCCCGGAACACAACCAGCCCCCAACTGACCTCACTATATTTCCCTCATTCCCCAAATGCTTCCCTCTCTATTCCTGTCTTGATGACAGGTGTTTCCACAACCACTCATGTTCTAATGTCATCTCCCATCCAGTCAATTCCCCTAAATGTGTCCTAGCCACTGTTCCTGGGCTACCTTAGGCCCAGTCGGCATTTTCTCTTCCCTTACAGATTCCTTGGCTCCTTCCTTCTGGGAACATCCCCCCGCCGCCAGACTGCTGAGGAGGGTAGTGGGCTATCGTCACCTCTGACCATTCCCTGCCCCACACCCCTGCAGGGGCCCTGTGATCTCCAGAGCTTTCCCTCCTCCCTAGGGCACCCTGTGCTGCCTGGAGTGGTGGGGCTTCCTGTCACTTCCTTCTCTCACAGATAGCAAGGTCATGCTGGATGGGAACCTGAGGCTGTACTCCTGTCAGCGACATTCTCATTAGAGCTGCCTTCAGTGACAAGTGGACCAAGGCAGTAATCAAAAAGGGGTCATGGAATAAATGGTACTTGAGCTGGGTCTTAAAGGAAGTATGGAGGTTAGATTAACGGCAAAGATGCGAGAGAGCATTCTAAGCAAGGGGACTGCTCGGGCAAAGGAGGCTCATTAGTACCTTTACCTTTAAAAACTCTTTATTATGGCAATTACACATCTATACACAGGAGAGATAATAGTATTAAAAATCCCACCCTCCTTTCACCCAGCTCCACTTGTCAACACTTCACTACTTTATTTTGAAACTAGGGAAGGATTTAGGGGAGAGAGCAATGGGAGCTAATGTTTCTTGAAGTGATAAAAGAAGAAGCACCCACCTAAGGTTGTCCAAATACAGGGGTGCCCACGCACTCTTTTATGAGGGCATCGCTGTGCTTAATTCCTGCTGCTGTGGATCCAGCACTTGGCATGCCAGGTGCTGGGCTAGGCATCTCTTTCCGAGCATAGTGCCTTGCAATCCTCACCACGATCCCAGGAAGTGTGCAAAAGGATTGCCCCATTTGATAGCAACATGGGCTTATCTTTCAGCATAGCATCATTAGCTTTGGACTGTCAGCAGGAATTTGCTGGTCTACGTGCTCCTGGGCAGAGACTTTAGTGGATTCTTCTCTGTTGTCACCATATTCTCTCAGTGACTTGCAGTCACAATGACCAAAGAGCAAGTAGGGCTGGGTACTAGAAAGATGATCCATATTGTTCCTGCCCTCCAGGATCTGCCGCTCCCACTGAGGGGTGCCCCCTCTGATGGCTGTGAGGGCCTCTTTGTGGTAGAAAATGGGATCATCACCTAGCATGATAAGCAAGACGGTAAGAGCCGTGACCTGAGGAGAGCAGGCAAGGTTGGAAATAACTGATGCTCATGATGTTTTTCTGTGCATCACTTAAGAATGCTTTATGGGGGGCGCCTGGGTGGCTCAGTTGGTTAAGCGACTGCCTTCGGCTCAGGTCATGATCCTGGAGTCCCGGGATCGAGTCCCACATTGGGCTCCCTGCTCAGCGGGGGGTCTGCTTCCCCCTCTGCCCTCTTCCCTCTCGTGCTCTCTGTCTCTCATTCTCGCTCTCTCTCAAATAAATAAATAAATAAATAAAATCTTAAAAAAAAAAAAAAGAATGCTTTATGGGCTTAAAGTATAAGGAAATGTATCGTTGACTGAACATGGAGTCTAGAGGGATGTGGTCATGGTGTTGGTTTAGTTGTCCAATGAAGGGTCATCAAGGTCCTAGGCCCCTTCCTTCCTGACCCTTTTAACAGCATGTGGGTGTTCAAAGGTATGGTGCTGGGACTAGTTACTCCTTTCTATGAATGAATAGTTTGTAACCATTGCATTAAAACAAGTTGTCTTGGTGTCTAACTGCCCCCCCCCCAGGGTAATTTCTGAGCTCCTTGAGGGCAGAGACAATGTCTTATGCTTTTCTGTACCCCAAGTCCCATGTCCAGCGCTTGGTACACACAGGGTGCTCATTCATTCATTCATTCATTCACTCAAGAATTATTCCTGCTAAGTGCTGTGATGGAGGGGAACACAGGGACCCATGGCATTTATCATTTATCCCAGCCTGTGGGGTGGAAGTGGAGTCAGCAAACACTTTCTTGGGATCATTACACCCGACATGAGTCCCTGAATCACAGAGGCCTCAGCTCAGCAGAATATTGAAGGCTTTAATTCTGTTAGCATCTGGGGTCTGAAGATATTCCTATGCCAAAGCTCATGGGGGTTCACAGTTCAATTACTTCTTATTGAACACCTATTATGTGCCAGGGGCTGGGATGACAGAAATTAATGATAGTTCTTGCCTTCAAGGAGTCTCCAGGCCAGTTAGGGAGACAGGCAAACCTCTTCAGTACTAAGTGATGAGTAAGCACATGGGGCCACAGAGGAGGAGCACCCCCCAAGCCTAGCAGGGTAGATCAGAGGGGAGGCAGTTTGCACAGGCCACCAGGGATAGGGGGGCACTAAAGGATGAGGAGGAGTCAGCTGGCCCAGAGGCCAGAAGTGGGGAGATTGTAAAATGCCTTAGTGAGGATAGTGAATGGGATGAAGATGGAACAGGTTACAGGCCCCCGGTGGTGCCACTGATTCAGTTGGCATCGTTGTGCCTCAGGTGATCTCCAGGTTATTTTCTGATGATGTGGGATTCAGTTTCAGAGTTGGCTCTGCCTTTCCATGTTACCTAGTTTCGACTTAGGAGCTCTTTGTATTTTTGTTCCTGCTAGCTCTTTGGCCAGAGAAATTGTCACCTTACTGTTTTGTTTGGGTCAGCTCATGACCTTCTTCCTATCAGTGTCTGTCTCTGACAGTGCTCC